TCTGCACCATCTTCATGCCATCAATCTCCACCATTGGCACTTGCTGAAAGAGCAGGGATCCATCTAGGGAAAAGGAGATAAGACAAGGAGACACTCAGTCTCTGAATGAGAACCATTGGGGGGGGTCAGGCAAAGTAACCACACATATTATCTTTTATTTAGAATCATTTAGGCTGGAAAAGACCCTTAAGATCGAGTCCAACTGTAAACCTAACACTGCTAAACTCCACAACTAAACCATGTCCCCAGGTGCCACATTTACACACGGTGACTCAACCACTTCCCTGGCAAGCCTGTTCCCATGCTTGACAACTCTTTTGGTGGCAATCTTCCTCATTCCTACAAGAAGGGAGGGAAAATGCTTACCATGAAACAACCATTTCTCAGCGACACGTGACTAACTTAATATTACAGCAATCAACTTCTTGAAGATTCTTCAGATTTGAGCAAGCACCCAAATGCAGAACTTTTAGTTTTCATGCCCTGAAAAAGACATGTGTGGCATGGCCCTAACTCACATGATTTTCGTGGAGATTAATACAGATGAGAAGGACTGAAAGATGCGATCCAGCAGTTTCTGTCATGCGTTGGTAAGTATTATGAAAATCTGGACAATTTAAGGACTTTTCAGCATATAATGCAAATAGAAAAGCATACAATATCTTTGTGACTTCTATGCTGACTTTGCACAATGGCATCTCATCTGTACAGGCATGAGGTGGGGAATCACAGGGGAGTTCCATGAGATTCCTGCAAGACCCAAGTATCATTTGATGTGAGTCTGCAGAAGCCTTGACCTAGCAAGGAAGAAGTAAAAATACCTCCAGAAAGAGATCACCTGATCAGAGGAGTGAGTGAGGTTTTTTGCTTTATGGAATACTATTTCAGATCAGATAACTGATCAGCTATGTCTCTCTTTGCATCCACTGTAAGGCAATCATGCAAAGAAACTCTCTGCTTTCCAGGGCGTATTTAGATTTATGCTTGTGTCTCAAAATACATTTGAAAGGCAGCAGGTGGCAGGAGGGTCAAGTCATTATTCCTGAAGGAGAGCAGGACTGCACATGCCAACCCT